TAGGAATGCACGTGTGTGCACACACGCACAGACACTCAGCCTTGTCATTCTCACATGTTACGTTTTTGAAAAATGATGAGGAAAAAAAAGTGACATACATTAGCCACATCAGTGAAGGTATCCCAGTTTGGGGAAGAACTAGACTCATCTTTAATGATAAAAATGGTATTTGTCTGGGACCCTGATTATACTGTTTGGCCTCTGCATTAAGTTGTTGAGTGATATCTCAAATGTAATTAGCTTCTATCAAAGTTACCTCACCTTCAGGGGTGAGAATTATTGACGACTCTTAAAGCCACATCAGCATGACCTGGGGAGATCCTGTCTCTCCACGCTTCTAGATGTGCACGTGGGGTTTGCTTGTGTGTCTGCTAGCTTTTGCGTGTTTGTTTTGTAGTGTCATTGTTTGTACATGTGTATGTATATGTGAATAGATGATAAAGGAATATGAGGACTTTTCCCTCTCACTGTTTAAAAAATTGTCATATTACCAGTTCGCTTTTGTAGCAGAATCGGCCTTCTTACCCTCTCTCTTTCATTTTATTATTTCTCCAAAGATAATATATTTTCAAAAGAAAATTCTACCACGGTGTGCACAGAATCCTAAACTCCTACTTTTTAAAATCTGAGCTCTGGTTTCAGCTCTTGTCTGGCTGTGTATTCCTATGCTAGACCTTTAACATCTAGATTTAGGGACTGGGAAAAAAATGTGAAAAAAAGAGTTAGATTGTGTAATTTCTAAGATTTGTTTCATTTTGAAATTTTTATTCCCTTTGTAAACTTATAGTAATCTTATATCTACTGCCATGAAGGAGAAAATACTTGGAAAATACAAGCTGAACACACTAGGGTTCTCCAAAGATACAGCACCAATGGTGGGGGTGGGGCCACGTGTGAGGAATCGGAGAAAGCAGTTGTGGATCCTGGGAAGACTCGCGAGCTGTGGTTGACAAGTCAGAGACTAAAGAGCGCTGATGACGTAGCTCTAGCCTTAAATCCAGAGATCCGAGCACCAGGAGAGCAGGAGTGGACGTGAGACCCAGGAAGAGATGAGATGTTTCCCGGTCAAGTCCAACGTCTGAATGCACGCCCCAGCTACGAGTGTGGGCTGGGAGGAGCCCCCCCTTGTTTGGGGGGAGCATCATCAGCCTTTTGTTCTACTGCAGCTTCACACTGATTGGATGAGGCCGCCGCGTGCCGGAGGGTGACTTGCTTTACTCTGTGTATCCATTTAAGTGTTCAGCACATCCAAAAACACCTTCATGGAAACATCTAGAATAATGTTAGACAAATACCTGGGCACTCCATGGCCTGGTCAAACTGTCACATGAAATGAAGCATCATAGTGACCTTCTCTGATGTAAGATGCGAGTTTTTGCCTTTTTCTTCCTGCCTCAGAGATTGGTTCAGATTCTCCCAGCAGCCTCTGCGTGGTCTTGCTTCAGACAAATACCTTGACCTCAAGTCTTTATTGTTCTTAGGGTTTTTGTTTTTTTTTAAATGCTTTCCAGACCCTTCTATGCTTTTTCATTTTTGGTTGGTCTTTCCCGGCAGAGCAATTTGTACTTTTTAGCTGGTTGGGTTCCCTTCTGTTGTTAACATTTGAATGTCGCCTACTTACGAAGGGGCTGGTGTGCTCATAAGGAAGCGAGGAATGGTGCTGCCGCTTTATAGGTAGCACACCCTGATTCTGGATCCACGCCGGCGTGTCCAGATCTGGTTAACACACCGAGTCATCAGGGCGGGGCCGCCAAGGAGACTCAAGTCTGCCAGCGCCTTCGGCTGTCTGTGCTCTTGACCTGGTGCAGCCTGAGACCTCACCCTCACCCTCACCGGAGGAAATGCACAGCCTGGGCTCCTTGTCACACCTGGGCAGTGCGGCACGACTTTCCCCAGTGCTTTGGGGAAGGCGGCAGATTTTATTGCTGCAAAGTATTTGTGGCCCCTACTCTCTGGACCAGGTATGTTCACGGCAACTGTCTCTTAAAGTAGGCCAGCACCATGGCTGGCGCCGTGGCTCAACAGGCTAATCCTCCGCCTTGCGGCGCCGGCACACCGGGTTCTAGTCCCGGTTGGGGCGCCGGATTCTGTCCCGGTTGCCCCTCTTCCAGGCCAGCTCTCTGCTAAGGCCCGGGAGTGCAGTGGAGGATGGCCCAAGTGCTTGGGCCCTGCACCCCATGGGAGACCAGGAGAAGCACCTGGCTCCTGCCTTCGGATCAGCGCAGTACACCGGCCGCGGTGGCCATTGGAGGGTGAACCAACGGCAAAGGAAGTCCTTTCTCTCTGTCTCTCTCTCTCACTGTCCACTCTGCCTGTCAAAAAAAAAAAAAAAAAAAAAAAAAAGTAGGCCAGCACCACGCATGGCTTCGGTGGAGACGAAGGAGAAAGAGAGTCCTTGGACATTACCCACAGATGTGTGGTTACTGAAGGTCCCCCTTCCCTTTCGCCAGAGATGGACCACAAGCCAGTCACTCCTTCAGGAGGTGCCAATACTTTTCCATCATGTCAAGAGCATGGAACTCCGTAAGCCCTGCGTGTATGTTTTGCTGAAGCAGAAGGTCAGTCGGAAGGGCTTAGACTGCTCCAGTTGTATTTCTTCCTTCTGTCCCCAAATGCACTTCAAACTGGCCTGGCAAAATGAGTACATTGATCCATAACAGAAAAGCCCAGAGGTGGCAGGCGTCAGGCAAGGTTGGATCCAGGTGCTCATGTTCCAGGAGTGTTTCCCTCCAGTTCTTGGTTCTGCTGTCCTCACGTTGGATTCCCTGCATTGAGGCTCATTCAAGTCCAGAGAGATTGCATTTCCCCCTAGCTGTCTGTGACCTTGATTCTGAATAAGCGTTTGTGATGAGGGGTGGTAGATGGGCTTGGACTGGATAAACTTGCCCCCTCCCTGACTGCCCCGAGCTAGGTGTGGAGTGCGCACCAACCCAAGGTAACCTGACTTAGTCAGCCTAAAACAATCCTGGATTTGGGGTTGTAGCCGAGAAGCATCATGAATGGATGCTGACCATAAGCTCAGCTGTGTCTGCTTCCCAGTTGGTAGGGTTCAGGGAAGAGTTTTGTGTGTTTTAGGGGAGACTGGGTTATACGTCGTCTCAGCTGTAGCAAGTGTATTTATGTATGTAGATACATTTGAGTTTTTTGTAAGACATTTTATATCCTCTCAAATTTGAAAAGGTTTATGAGATTATATTCTGTGAAGGATTGTAAATGGGTGATTAAGGATACTGGAATAAGAAGAAAAGCAGGGTAGATCCATAAGTAAGGGGAGGCTAAGACGAACGCTCTAATTTCAAAGTCAGTAGTCTCTGAAGTGCTGGTAGATATGATCTACAGATTGACCTCTGAGCTTCCCAGGTGTGAAAGAATATGTAAGTCCGTCAGGGGTGTGTGTGTGTGTGTGCGCGCGCGCATATGTGCACACGTATATGTCTGTGTGTAAAACATTTCCACCAGAAGCACCAGCTCCTGCCTTCAGGCCAGGAGGAAGTGGCTGCTGCCCGTCCTGAGGACGGTGTCTTTTGCAAGCTCCATCTCCAAGGCGCGTGGCCCTGAGAACCTTGCCTCTCTGCTGGTGGCATTGTGTTAGAAAAACCAAGCCAGCCAGACGAAGCTCCAACCCCTTTGTTGCTGGGTCCCTTCCTGAAGCCATGGCAAGGTTGAGCATGTCACCTTTGGGGGCAGGCAGCAAGGTGAGTCACTGCTGTCACAAGGCAGAGCAGGATCACCTTAGTCATAAAGTTGGGGCCGAGCTCCCAGATGGAGTCGCGCTTGGCTGGTGACTCACTCCTGTTTACAAACCTGTGTGCGCTGTAGAGCGATGCAGGGTGCATGACTCTATTTGCAGATGGAGGCCAGAGACCTCCAGGCACGGGGAGACAGCACGGCCTCTGCTGCACAGCTCTCTCCCTGAGCGCGCAGGTCATTGGCTCTCAATCTTAGATTCTTTTTCCTGGATTATTGTTCAGAATTAGCTAAGAAGGGTGGACTTTCCCCTGCTATGAAAATCTCAATAACTACAGTAGAGGCAGCGTGTGTCCTATATGATAAACACAGAGGGAAGATGCCTTCTTCTCTTCTTAAAGAAAACTGGAACGAGGGGTCTGGGTGGTGAGATAGACCACATGGGCCCCCAGGTCACTCTCTGCACCCCTGTTTATTCTGAGCCACAGGTAGATCTGGGCAGGGTCTGCCCAGCAGCCGTCTCCTTGAGTTGACTGAGACTTGGTCCATCTTCTTCCTCTGCCATTTATTAACTGTGTGACCTTGGGCATGCTCCTTTACGTCTCTGAGTCAGTCTCCTCCTCTGTGGAATGGGCACAGCAATACCTACGCAGAGCGTGGCGGTGAGGGTTAGCGGAGTAATCAGCGCATTCCTGCCAGGGCCCTGGATGGAGGCGGCAGCCAGGATACCTTAGGTGCTCTCGTGAAAGGGCTGCAGAGGGGTCCCAGTTCAGCTCAGCACAGATTTTTGGAAGCACCCGCGCTGTGTGTGCTGCCAGATCTTTCGAGGGGCCTGGGGATGGCACTGTAGTTGCTTCCCCAGAAAGACTGTGGTCTGGCAAAGGAATTAAGACAGAGGAGATGCCCAGCAGTGTGCATCCAGAGTGGCAGCCTGTGTCCTTGTGTGGCTGTAGGGCAAAAGTGTCAGCAGTGTGATAGGGTTCACACTTCGAGAAGATTCGGGAAGGTAAGTGGAGGGAGGTGATGCCGGCCGGCCACCTTGTGGCAGGCTCAAGCCTTGTCAAGAGGGAAATAATGGGTTGGGTTGGGGATGACAGGCAGGGACCCCCGTGGAGAGGCCGCGCGGAGGAGGCTGTGTTTGAAATGTCCGGAGAGGGGACCCCGGAGCTGGATGGCAATGAGGACCTGGGTTCGGGTCAGAGTTCCCAGAGAGATGCGGGGTAGGGCCGGACGTCCAGCTGGGGCTGTGTGTGCCTTGGTGAGTGTGACCCCTCTGCCCCGAGCCTCACTGTCTCCCCCTTTCTTCCCGGCAGCAGAGCCCCCTCCCCTGCTGCACTCAGGGACATGACTGTCAGCACTTCTGCCCCCCCTCAGACTTCACTGTCAGCACGCCAGTCTTCAGGGACACGAAAAGGAGCCACTCCTTACACAAGGTTGGGGAGCCCTGGTGTTTGGAGGTAGGTCTCGGAGCAGAACCCCCGGAGGAGATGGGCTGGCGGGAGAGGAATCCGCCTGCCCACTTCGCCTCGCACTAGGGCGGGGCCCTCCGCCTCCGTGGGGCGCGTTCTCTGGGCCACTGTCAAGTTGGTGCCGTGAAGTCTGGGCGTACTGACCACTGATAGGGATATCACGGCCATAAAAACACCGGTTTACAAGGAGAGGGCGGAGGAGGTGCCCCCGTGAACCCGAGGTGCCTGGCTCCCGGCGAGGCCACGTGACCCCGCGTCACACGTGGCTTCTGTGAGAATGATGAACAGCAGGTTATCCTGTTCAACTTGACCCCCAGGAAGTCATTTCCGGGGGCCTCTTCCCAGCTCCCCGAGGAAGAGAGGTTCTCGCCCCCCACTTTGCCTTTGTTACTAGCAATTGAGGACGTAGAGCTTTTTCTTTGAGAGTTCTGGGTGCTGGGAAAGCCGCCTTCCTCCGCAGCCGCAGCTCTCCAAGGACAGGAAGCATTGTTAATTTCCTTTAAATAATTCAGTACAAAGTCAGCACCCCATGCTGCTCAGGGCGAGCACGCGGTCCTCTTCAAATTAGTGGTTCCAGAGAATAAAGAACATCTAGAACCTGCTTTTATCTTCAGAAAAGCGAAAGTCAATGCAGATAAGGTATAAAGTTTATAGTAAGTCTTAGGTTTAAACAGCAAATGATTTAGGGCTATTGCTAGCTTTATATATTTATTTTTAATAATGAAAAGTGAGTACTTATGAGCCAGTTGGTGCAACATCTCTTTTTAAAAAGTGTTTATTGCACCTGCTCTGTGCCGGGGGCCTTGCCCGTGCATCAGGGCTCATGGTTTTTGCAGCCTGGGGTGGCCTCGGGTGATTCCTAACGCACACATGCACGTCTTGGTTTTGGAGAGAGAGCATAGAATAAGTGATCTTTAGATGCTTGTTCTAGTTTCAGAAGTAGGAAGTCGATCGTTGAAGAGAACTGGAGAACATAGGAGATGTAAAAGCCAATTGATAATCTCTTTCTCTTCGTTCAAGTGCGTAAACTTTAAAAAATGTGCCACAAAATTAGGAAGCAGGTGTTTGGCCTGGTGGTTCAGATGCTGCATCCCACATTGGAGCCCCTGGCTTCTGTTCCTGGCTCTGGCTGCTGACTCCCACTTCCCACCATCGCAGACCTTGGGAGGCGGCAGATGATGGCTCAAGTCACTGGGTTGCCGCTGCCTGTGTGGGAGATGTGGATGGCATTCAGGTGGTGAACAATCAGATGAGAGCTCTCTCTGTCTCCTCTGTGCATCTCAAGTAAATACAAAATAATTTTTAATATTTTGTAAAATTGACATTGGACCTTGCACAGTCTTTTGCCTTCTTTTCACTTGCTGGAACATTCGTTTTCTATGTAACGTGTTGTCATTCTGGTCCGTAACTTTGCATGCTGGAGTCCCATGGGAATCCTTTGGTCTAACCACTGCCCTTCAGCCACAATGGGCGTGGAGATGTGTCTGGTCTCGCTCTCACCTCTGATGATGCCTGTGTTGGGCCGCGCTCATGATCTAGTTACCTGGGGCCTGCGCATGTCTGTTTCACTGGGCGGTGTCTACAGTCGCTGTGACGTGGTGGAAGCTTGTTTCCCGCAGCCTCTCGCTGGCTCAGCTTTTCATAAGCAAAGCTGTGCATTCCGACTGTCCATGATAAGGACTGAAGAACATGGCTCTTCCTCCACCAGGCCTGGCAAATGGTAACTCATTAATCTTTGGCCAGAGTTAGGGGGTAGATAAAGGAGAGAACCAGGCACCCATTTTGAGGAGGAGGAAAACGAAACTCCTTCCTCGTAACTCGAGATCCCCAGGAGCCGATTAGCTTCCTGGCGCCAGTGGCTCCGAGCGTTTCTCAGCCTTGCGCTCAGGACAGAGGCATGTCTCCGGAGGAAGGGCCAAAATGCCACGTTTCCAAAAGTTCATCCAAATCCTTAAGCCATGACGAGGCCACATCCAAAGATACCGCTTTGGGCTGTGTCAGCTTGGGCAAATTACTGGCCCACCCTCTGCCTGCGTTCCTCGCCAGCAGAGGGGTGCTGAGCCTCGTGCTGGTGCCCAGCTGGCTTCCTGGGGAGTGGCGTCGGTGGTGCGTCTGTGCCACGGGCCGTCACTGCTGGGGTGGCTCAGCCTCGGAGTTCACTCTCTCTCCATACTGGGTTTCACGGAAATTGCTGTATAGCAATTCCAGTTCTTACTACTGGAAGACTGTCGGTGCTGTGGGAAAATCCCCACCCACGGCAGGTGCGCTAGCTCTGGAGGATGCAGTGGGAGCCACACGTGATGGGCAGGAGAACCAGGGTTGAGTCCTGCGGTCAGTCACCCGTTCCCAGGGTACGGTTCCTGTGAAAGGGTCCCGGAAGACGTGGCCGGCCTGTTTCACTGGGTGCCTGTGAGCACCCCGTGGATGTTTCTCGCAGCACTTCCTCTGTCCAGGCACCACCATGAGCCATTCGTGAACTGTGCAACCCTGCGATTCCCCGCGTTCTGCGGATGAGATAACTGAGCCGCGAGAGAGTAAGCAACTTGGCTTGAGCTCACGCAGCAGTGGAAGACCATGGCTACCATCCTCTGGGCTGGGAAGTCCACTTTTTCTTACTTTTTTTGGTAGGCCTCACATTTGGGAGACTTTGTTTACCATTCATCCATGTTTACCGTGCGTTGTTCTTTCTGTCTCTTGCCTTGCAATTCAGTCTCACCCTTTAGATCTTTTCCTGAGGGAGTTGAGATAGGTGACCAGTTGAGTAAATATTACTAAGTCAATACTCACCTGGGCAGGGATGAGTCACTTCTTTCTAGCTAGCTGTTCACATACATTTTAAAGCTAGCCACACACAGTCATTACATTGGGGGCTATTAACATGTTGAATAGTGACAATAATAGGGTGTGACCATGGTATAACCGCAGTCAGATAAGAAGGAAAGTGTTTTTCCCGTAATTGCTTAGTCAATACCATTTCCACGGAAATACTTGCAAGCAAGACTTTTAAAAAGTTCTTTGTCTAGACCTTTCGCTTATTCCTTGTTTCCTTCCTCTTCGGTGCTTCTAGAAATCTTTCCTGATCAGTGGGCCTGCGATGAATCTGGGGGCTTGCGCTACCCTGTGGCCAGTGCCAGGCTTGTTTCTAGTTGAATTTTAGGGAGGTGTGTGTTTTCGGGATGGAGGTACCAGGATTGCTGCTACTTGGTCATTCATTTCTCAGCCTACAAATTTAGGGGAAAAAGAAACTTCTGCTAAATTTGTAAAGCTAGTCACATAGACAGGGAGTTAACCATTCTGGTGAGAGGAAATGAAACTTCTCTTAGGTTTATTAGACCACATCCTATAAATCTGTGGCTTATTATACGTCTGACTTCTAAAAAGCATAGCATCACGGCCAGAGTTTTATTTTTGCTTGTTAGTCATTTGAAACAAATATAGATGTTACTTCATTTCCTGGGTACTTTATTTTTCAGTACGTGTTATGTATGGAAAAATATGGATTTACACAACATAGTGAACTGAAAGGGAAGCATTTGCTAATTTATAAATCTCTGTTTTAACTTTGTATTAGCCAGCATTTTGCTGAACTAAAAGATTGTGGTTTTCTCCCAATCCCCGATTATATAAAGAAGCAGAACGAGCAAAACAGCAAAAATAGCTCCCAAGGGCAAGGTTAATAGTTTGACATACTTCCTTCCAGTCTTTCAAAATCATAGGTTGGTTCATATTCTGTGTTTTCTGTTTATTTGATTTCTCTCGATAGTAGAAGCACCTTCCTATGTGTGCCGTGAAGATTCTTTGTGGAACTTAACAATGGTTATCCATTCTGGAAGTGGCTGTCCGTTAATGTCCTTATGCATTGCCCCAGCATGAACAGACTGTTCCTCAAGTTCTGCTATTAGATTGCAGTTGGAAATAGTAAAGACAGAGTGATTCTGGAACATTCCATATGCCCTGGTGATGCATATGACCCAGCATTGCATGTGTAGGCTTGGATGATTGTCTGCAAGTGGACTGGCCAGGTCACCCCTTCATCCCAGTTAATGCTCATTTGGTGGGATGGTGGATGGAATCACCACCATGTTGTTTTATTTCTTCCTTTCTCTCCTTCTCCTTTGTTGACATTTTCTGGGTTAAATGATTGCCCCAGGAGTGTAAATGGACACCGCGGTGCCTACCTGAGAATTTCTAGGGCCTGGGTGAAGTCCTGTTCCTAATGCATCAGGAGTGTGATGTAGTTCCACATTCTGGAACAGACGGGGAGCTGGGGGAGGTCCTCCCGGGCCCCATTTCCCATGTTGTTTGCCGTTGGCGCCCCCACCCTGGGAGCTGGGGCCCAGGTAGGAGGCCCAGGGAAGGACCTCATCCACTTTAAAGGAGGGGTGTTCTCAGTCCGGGCCCAGGCGCCCACCAGGTCTCGCCAGTCTGTGTGCACAGTGCTTATCTCCGCGGCTGCCTTCCTTGTCCCCGTTCTTAGTGAGTCATCTATTTTCCTCGCGTCCCCTGTGACAAAGGTCAGGAGCAGAGACAACTTGGGCCTTCAGTGCGTGCCATCGCCAGGGTGTATTGTTTCGGATCCACCCCTTCTGTGTGCCTTTGAGGTGACAGCTCAGAGTTTAATGGGTGACACCACATCCAGGGGGAGCCAGACGTTCACTTTGGGACTTCTCATTTCTCACTGAGCCCCCAGCATCAACACACTGGGTCGGTGCTGAAGGAGAGGGGCGTGCTTCCCACGGCTTCTGCCTGTCCACCTGTGCTGGGATCTCCATCCCTTTCGTGATGTCTGGAATTTGGAGATGGAGAGACGCCATATTTCAGCCCAGACTCTGGGACTTTACTTGTTTCCATTAAGGGCCCAGTCCCTGTTGGGCCAGTGGAGTGCAGGCCCCTGGGAGGGTACTGACTGTGTCAGCTGCCGCCGGTCTGGGCAGAGAGGGCACTAGCAGCTGCATCGTCTTCCATGCTTTATCGCACACCCTTCCAGG